AAAAAAGAAGAAAAAAGAAGCTTCAGTGACATGTGATTAACAAAGGTTTTCATTTTAATGCAAATATTTTGTACCACACTATTCTCTCCAACATGTAAAATGAGACAAAAACAGTGAAGCCAATCTTCATCCACTTGCAGCCACTTCAAACGGGTAGTACTGAGGAAAGTCGTGAATGACCTTCAGGGCTTCATTGTACAGCTCCAAGTCTGTGGGAGAAGCAGACACAGCACACTGTGAGTCACAGACCAGGAACAAAACTTTACTCAGTCTAGAGAGACGTACCAAAGGGAATGCCTTTGTCCTCTCGTAGGAGGTTGTATGTGGTGGTGGTTATTACTCCTTTGCTGGACACCATACCAATGACCTCCACAATGCCGCTCAGCTCTTCTTCAAGCTAAGAAAAGAACCAAATAGTTATTGAAAGTTTCAGAATGAAATTTTAACCAACACTCCACCTTCATTTTGCATTAATATTTTAATCCCTGCTGTGTTTACTGAAAGTTAACAATCTCTGCTCAAGACTTTCAATTCAGTTCAATTTATTTATATTTTAATATACTTTTAAAACAATCTAGATGTAGGCAGATTAATATAATAAAGCAAAGCTACATCTTTAGCAATCGAGGCTTGGTCTGTACTCATTTGTCCACTAATCCTTAATCCTTAATGCTCTAATTGAATTTCATTCCTGCCTGAAATAGGACAAACTTCTTTCCCCTGCTGGAGTAGGTTTCTTAACAGAAAACTCATTGTTGCAGCCGTGGCCCAAAGTGACGCCTGTAGACTGTTTGTTTTAGTCTCCTTGACTCCACTGTTCTCTTATTAGTTAGCTAATATAAACTAATGTAAGTCTATCAACTGCAACCAACTACGGGTGGGCGGATATATCGAATATACTTGATGTATCTTAAGTGATTTGTTTGTTTGTTTCAATTTTTACATGTTATAAGCACAAAGGAGCACCTTTTTAATTTCAGTTCTTTTATTTTGTCTCGTGAATTCTTGCTTTTTTTTTTTTATTGATACGCTCTTTGTTTGTTAAATGCAGTGTTGGAAAAGTTACTTTGAAAAGGTAATTAGTAATAGTTACTTCTTCAAAAAAGTAGCTGAATTAGTAACTCAGTTACCATATTCTAAAAGTAACTAATTACTTGGTAAAGTAACTATAGCATTACTTTAAAAAAAAAAGTTTAACCCTGTGGGGTCCAGGGTATAATTGGCT